AAGAATGTTTCTTCTGCTTACTTGATTGACTCTTCTGATATTTGGCATGAGTGATTGGGCCATGTTAATTACAAAACTTTAAAGAAGTCGTGTAGCATGGATTTAATACCTAATTTCACATTAGATCATAGTAAAAAATATGAAATATGTGTTGAATCAAAGATGACAAAACCTCTATTTCATTGAGTAGAAAGAGAAACTAAACCTCTTGAATTAATTCACAGCGATATATGTGATTTGAAATTTTTGCGGAGGTAAAAAGTATTTATAACATTTATTGATGACAGTACAAGGTACTGTTATGTATATTTGTTAAAAAGTAAAGATGAAGCCATTGAAGTGTTTAAACACTACAAGACTGAAGTGGAAAATCAACTAGGTATAAAGATTAAAATGTTTCGAAGTGATCGAGGGGGGAGAATATGAATAACCTTTTGAAGGTTTTTGGTCAGAAAATGGAATTTTACATTAAACTAGTGTTCCTTATTCTCCTCAATCAAATGGCATAGCAGAACGGAAAAATCGAACATTGAAAGAAATAATGAATGCTATGTTAATTTGTTCAGGATTACCACAAAATTTGTGGGGGGAAGCGTTGCTTACAGCAAATTACATCCTGAATAGAATTCCATATAAGAAAACACAGGAAATTCCATATGAATTATGCAAGGGACGAAAACCGACTTATAAATTCATGAAAGTGTGGGAGTGTTTGGCCAAGGTGGCGATTCCTAAACCAAAAATGGTTAAAATAGGGCCAAAAACGGTTGACTGTGTGTTTATTAGGTATGCAATTAATAGTAGTGCATATCGGTATCTTGTAAATAAGCCAGAAAATCCTGACATACATGCAAATACAATTATTGAGCCAAGAAGTGCATCATTATTTGAAAATATGTTTCCTTATAATACGAAAAATGAGTCAAATATAAGGAAAAAGACAAATGAATCATCATCTAACAAGAAAATTTTTATGAGATTCAAGAGCCAAGACGTAGTAAGAAAACAAGAGTTGAAAAAACTTTTGGGCCAGATTTTCTAACATATTTGTTACAAAATGAACCTCAGACATTTTTTGAAGCAATCTCTTCTCAAGAAGCACCATATTGGAAAGAGGATATACATAGTGAAATTGATTCAATTATGCAAAATCATACATGGAAATTGGTTGATCTTCCTACAGGTTCTAAACCATTGGGTTGTAAATGGATTTTTAAGAGGAAAATGAAAGTAGATGAAACAATTGATAAGTATAAGCTCAGCTTGTAGCCAAAGGCTATAAATAAAAAGAAGGGTTGGATTATTTTGATACATATTCACCCGTTACTAGAATTACTTCTATTCGCATGTTACTAGCCTTAGTAGCTTTATACAGCCTTGAAATACATCAAATGGATGTAAAAATGACTTTCTTAAATGGCGAGTTAGAGGAAGAAATATATATGGAATAACCAAATGGTTTTGTTGTTCTTGGACAAGAGAAGAAAGTATGCAAACTGGTCAAATCTCTTTATGGTTTGAAACAGGCGCCTAAGCAATGACATGAAATGTTTGACCATGTTATGATAACAAATGACTTCAAAATCAATGAATGTCACGAATGTGTCTATGTTAAAGGAACTCAAACGGAGTTCGTAATTGTATACTTGTATGTTGATAATATGTTAATAATTGGTAGCAATAAATAAATTGTATTTGCTACAAAACAAATATTGACTAGAAAGTTTGAAATGAAAGATATGGGTGTCGCAGATGTTATCTTGGGAATCAAGATCCAAATAACATCTGATGGATTAGTACTTTCTCAATCACATTATATTGGAAAAATTCTTGAAAAATTCAAGAAATATGATATAAAAGTTGTAAAGACACCTTTGGATGCTAGCCATCAATTTTCTTCAAATACGAGTGATAGTATGTCTCAAGTAGAGCAGTCTCGTATAATAGAAACTTTAATGTATGTTATGAATTGTACAATACCGGATATAGTATATACGGTAAGTATGTTTAATCGTAATACAAATAATCCAAGTCCAGATCACTGGAAAGCTCTTTAAAGAGTCTTGGGATATTTAAAATATACTCAAAATTATGGTTTACATTATACTAGATATCCAACTGTGCTTGAAGGGTACAGTGATACAAGTTGGATAACTAGTATAAAAAATTCAAAGTCAACATGTGGATATATTTTTACACTTGGAAGTGGAGCTATATCCTATAAATCTTCCAAGGAAACTTGTATAGCAAGGTCAACTATGGAATCTGAATTCATAGCTTTGGACAAAGCAAGGGAAGAAGAAGAATGGTGACGAAACTTTTTGGAAGATATTCCTAATTGGACGAAACCTGTACCCCCAATATGTATACATTGTGATAGTCAAGCTGCTATTGGAAGAGCACAAGACTTAATGTATAATGTTGAGTCTCGACATATACGTCGAAGACATAATACCATAAGATAATTGCTCTCTAATGGAATTATATCAATTGATTATATGAAATCAAAGGATAATATTGCGGATCCGTAACGAAAGCTTTGGCAAGAGAGAAAGTGAAATTGTCTTCAATAGGAATGAGATTGAAGCCTATAATATAAGAGTTAACATAATGATAACCCAACCTAGCGGACTGGAGATCCCAAGATCTAGGTTCAAAACGGAAAACAAATTCATGTATACAACTCAGAGAAGCACTAAGAAGGAATTATAAATTCCCAACCGTTCCTATTATAAAAATTAGTGCTAACATGAAAATAGATGAGGTTAAGATATGCTTTTAATGAATTTTCAGCTCTTTTTTAAAAGTGGGGTATTGCCAGGATACTCTCTAAAGAAGTCGCCTATGTGGGTGTGAAGGGGCCACTTCTATGAAAATTTTCAAGGCTGAATTCTCTAAAAACACTAATGAAACTAGGCAGTATTTAGGGCCAAAATGAATACAAACATGAGAACCATTAGTATTTCGAAGAATGTCTATGTAATTATTATGGATTTGACGTACTCCTAAAAGGTTGACAGTTCAAAGTTCTTTAACTACTGATATGCTATGTAAGTTCAAGGTCTTAGACTACTTATCCTGACATAGTTATTCTTCATGAATACACACTTTAAAATAAATTTTATTCATGTGGGGGATTGTTTGAATTTTTTGAATAAAATTATTTTTTTATAAAATTATTTTTTTTATTTTATTCTCTCTTTTTCCCTCTTTACAAGTACTTAAATACTGTGAGTTCGTTGAATCCTGTGCGTGAACTGCTGCATTCACAGGTTGGTATATCCGTCCTATCTTGGGAGACAATTGTTCATGAAACCTTGAGCACCATAGAGGGAACAAAATTGTTTTAAGGAAACAACCCTACTCTTGCGTTTGGATTGATTATTTTTGTGTTTCCTTAATTACTCTATATATTTTCTCCTACAGAACTTCACCTAGCCCTAATTAATCTCCCTTTCGCGTTGTTGCCTATTGCCATCAACAAGGGTCAAACTGATAGCCACGATCAAGTGCTATTTTAGAGTTCTCGAAGTTCTCCATTGCCGCCATTGATGAAAAGCATCCACATTCTCCCCTTCGTAAGCTTTTACAACTATGTTTTGGTTTTCTCATCGACTTTTTCTTCACTTCGATTGTTTACGTCTGTTTTTTTATTTTACTCCATTAATAGTCTCGGTATGTTATAGTTCTTTGTTGAGTAGCTTTAATTTACCATGCTTTTTCGAGTTTAGTTTTTCCTTAATCTGCTTCGATTCAACTTGTGATTGGTATGTTTTTATTGTCTGTCGTCAAACTGAAGCTTGGAGTTGAAATTTTGGGGGGGTTTTTGTTTTCTAGGATTCATTTGCTGTTGAGTTAGTTGCAAGATGATTTTTAATGAAAACAATGAAAGATATAGCTTTTTTTGAATATGATAGTGTTAGGGTTGATTTTTTACGGCAGAAATGTGTGTCGGTAGGCCTATTTGACCATAAATTTGACCCTAATGGAAACCAAAAAATGACACCATAAGAAAATAATGGATAAGAATTTGGAAACCAGAGATTCAGTATTGTGATTTAATTCTAGATTAAGGTTGTTTCAAGGTAAACATAAGTCTACATGGTTGGGCCCGTTTGTAGTTGAACATGTTTATCCACATGGAGCGGTGGATTTAAGTGATTCTAAAGGTAATATTTTTAAATTAAATGAGCATCAAGTAAAAAAAAATACTTTGGTGAGCATATTGACAGAGGTAAAACCTCTATACTATTGAAAGATCCACAAGAAAACAGTGAGAACAATCCCTCTGTCGGTGTTGAAGGCATTTTTATGTAAAATATTTATTGTCTTCTTTTTGCAAAATTTTTCATTTTCTTTAAGACTTTTTTTGTGTAGATTTCAAATCTAATTTTTGTTTTTGCATTTGAATTTTATAGGATCAAGATCTAGTCCTCCTAAAAAATGCGTCAGGCGCAATTTAAAAAAAAAAAATTTTCAAAATTTGATTACGGCTTTTGTGGGGTTGATTTGGGTTATGTTTAAATGGGCATTGGGCTATTTGGAAACACAAGAAGCCCCATTACTAAACCCTAATATGTTATAAAGGAAAAAAAAAAGCCCTAATTCTTTCCCCTCCCTCATTTGCGTTTTTCACACTCCAAAATCCCAACTTGTTTTCAAATTTCTGTCATCAAATCCTCAAGAATCCCCAAAATCTCTCACATCTTTCTCTTTTTCGGCAAACTTAGGGTAAGAGTGTGTAACTTTCCGTGTTGATTGTGAAACATAACATCAAAAACCATGGAAGGCTCCTCTTCCTCCTGACTATGCAACAAAGAGAAAGGAAAGAAGAAGGTGATACCTCCACCACTTACTCCACTGGGTATGATTCCTCTTGAACCCAAATCTCTCATGAAAGGACAATTTTTTATCCTAGGGTGGAAAGAAAGAAATTAGAGGAAGCTTTAAGAATGAACCTAGAAAGAACCTATCCATATGCAATTAAAATTCTGAAAAAAATGACTTTAGAACCTCATATTGCTAGGATTAATGAAGGAGACCATACTGAAAAGAAATTAGAAGAATTTAGCAAGGTCTACCTTAGAAAAAATCAACCTATGGGTGATACAGGTTCTGATTTAGATGAAAGAATTGGTATGATTAATGAGAGAGTTGACACTAAAAATAAGAAAATGGAAATTAGGGATAAGGAGAATGAGGTTATTTGTGCCAAGATAGCGGAATTAAACGAGAAATGGCAAAGGTTTATGGAAAATTCAAGGAGGATGAGTGAAGAAATTCAAATTGAATTAGATGAATTATATGGTATGAATAAATGCCGTAGGTTGAATTCCCTTAAAAACAATCATGTTTCCGGTTCTTTAGAGTTGTCTATCCCTCCCCCTCCTTCCGTTACTGTTATTATGGATGTAGAGTCAAGAATAGATTAGTGGTGATTATGAGCATGACATAGAGCCATTGGAGCCTTCAGATTCGGCCACGATCGAAATCCACTGCCAAATTACGCTTGGTGCAATTATGAAGAGCACTCCACCGACCACTCTACGAGGTAGTTCGTCTCCCAATTTTTCAGATCTTACTTTGACTAAAATGCCTTTAGTTTTTTATGATTTAGAACAGGAAATGACAACATAAAAAATTGTCGAAATTTTGGTGGCTTCGAGTGAAACAACAGGAGAAGATCCAAAGGATGATGGCAATAGTAGAGAAGCTTAAGGAAGACTAAATGTTGATGGAGAAGATGAGGATCTTGGAGATTTACCCCAAGAAGTTACAAATGAGTGCGAGGAGGAAGAAGAAAACAATGATATCTCCCAATATGATGAAGAGGAGGCCCCTGTTCAAGTACAAGAAGGAGCATCTAGTCCTAAGGATGTCCCAAACGAAGCCACGAAGGAATCATCTTCCTCTTCTTCAAAAGATATGACCCATTCTTTCTCGAGTTTGAATGTTTTTGACCCCAACTTTGTTGCTGTTGCAGAGAACTCAGAGGAAGAGGCGTGCTTGACTAAGCAACGAAAAAGAAAACTCCGACCCAAATTACGCCTGGCCCAATTTCCAAGCCGCGCACCGGAGCCTTCGTAGCGCGTTTGGCCGCCCAAAAGCAACTGAGGCTGGTCCATCTAAAAAAGCCAAGAGGCCTAGGGTGCTTGGAGAGTCAGAAGAGCATTCTGAAGAGGTTAACGAAGAGGATCCCACTTCTACCGAGCAACAAGCGTCAAGCGAAAAGGGTGAGGTTGGAAGTGAAAAAGCCTGAATTCACAACCTGTGGTATCTTGGTTGAAAAGGGGTTTGATGATGAAAAAGAGCCCGTGCTAGAGTACGTCAAGTGACTGCTTGTAGAGAATGGTTGGGATACGTTGTTTGCCTCACCTACGCGAATGTTAGAAGCCTTGGTAAAAGAATTATATGTTGTCATCCACCAAAACTGAGATGCTGTGAGAGTAAGAGGTAAAATGGTAAGATTATCTAATTTGGTTATTCACACTCATTATGAGTTGCCGGATGTGTTTGATACAATAGGTAATGAGATTTTGGTGCATCCAATGGACGAACAAGTTGAGGAATCACGTAACTCATCTGTAGGCCGCACAAGTCATGGACCGTCTCAACAACGGGGAACCATTCCTTGAAGCCCTTGGCTATCAATGAGCAAGGCACTGTCTAGATGTGTGTAGTGAAGAACTGGTTGATCCCCACTTCCCATGACTCCTTCATTAAGCGCAATAGGGTGATGATGCGGTACATTTGATGAAGGACATTGAGTTCAATTTTGGCGAACTTATAAGAAACGAAATTCGGAGTTGTTAGGAGAAAATGGTAGGTCCACTTGTTTTTCCTGGATTAATAACAGAGTTATGTTTGCAGGCATGAGTGGTGGTCAATGATGAGGATGTAGTGATGCCTAAAAAGTCAGCCACATCCATGAGGAGAGTTTGGGAATACTCGATTGTCTGGGAGGAAGATTCTCCCACTACCACTACGGATCCCGAGACCCGTGGTGTGGTCACGAGAGAACAATATGATGAGTTAAGGCGCAAATATGAATTGCTCTTGGCTACTCAACATGCCACGTCTGAGTTTCTGAAGCGGCTTTATGGAGATGGTGGACCTTCTCATCCCGATGAGCTTAAGGCCGACTGGCCTTCGTCTTCACGACTTACCGACAATGATTTTTCGGATGACGGTGATTAGGGGAGTATCTGTCTTTCTCTTTGCTGTGAGAATTAGACATTTGTGAATCTTGATCTTGTATGTTTTTATGTTTTTAGTTTGTATGTTAAGCTGCTTAGGTAGTTTTTGGTTTTACATAGTTTGTGGGATGATTTGCTGTTAGTTTGGAATGTTGGTTGTGTTTCTGCATTAAGTTCAAACTTTGGATGCTTCCTTATTCTAGTTACAAGTTTGTCCTTAGCTTTTTCAATGGCATCTTTTCTAAACTCTCAGCATGCTCATCTATTTAATGAAAAGCTTTCATCTATTCTTTGTTTTTGTATCATGTCAATGAGGATATTTAAGGGCATGAATAGGTAAGATTTCCTAGTCTTACGATAAAGCCATAAGTCATTTTCCACTTTTTGTTTTGATTATAAACTTGTGTTCTGTTTCTTTTTGTTTAAAACTTAAGCTTTTTCATTGCTTTGGAAGTTCTTGTCCTTTTTGTGCCGAAATTTTGCATCTCTGAAAATTTCTTTCCCTAGTGAGGACAGTGTTTCCCTTAAGTTTGGGGGGACAATGTGTATTTTTTGTTTTAGAAAGAAAATGCTTTTTATATTTCGAAAAAGAGTTAGAAAGAAAAGTGCAAGCAATAAAAAAGAGTCTTATTTAAAAATAGTCATATGCAAGAAAATCTTTCAAAAAAATAGCATGAAAAAAGAGTCCAGAAAAAGAAAAATCAAGTTAAAAAAAGAGTCTTGAGAGAAAAATAAAAGTGAGAGAAAGACAAGAGTGGTAACAAACATGAGCGGTAAGAAAATGCACTTACTTTTTCGCAAGTCCCCACTGTAGACATTCATTTATCTTTAAATGGGTGGCGTTAGTATCTTGGAAGGTAGGAGCCTACATATTAAGGTGACTTCGTGAAATCCATTGTCAACATCATTTTATGTCGGGTTGCAACCTAAAGAGTTTCTATGTGTGGCTGTGGTTGGAAACCAATGTTAGTGTGTGGAAAACTTCAGGGGCTAGTAGCCGATCCACATGTCTTCTAAATGTAAAACTTTTGAATCAAAACGGAAGTGTGCAAATTCCTTCGTTTGGTAAAAACTTTTGTGTTTTAAAAAAGAAGAGGATTCAGAATCATTTTTATTTTCAAAACAAAGGATGGTTTATGGTATATTGGCGTGAGATTAAAGTTAGAATGTTTAACTTGTGGAATCCTTCCTGAGACAAATATGATGTGATAACTTAGAATGTTTGGATTGTCGATCATTCCAAAGATTCTAAGTTATCACATCTAGCATGTTGATTGTTTTGGATTTGCTGTTGTTTTTGCTTTAGGACAAACAAATGGCTAAGTTTGGAGGTGTGTTAGGTTTGAGTTTTTATTGTAGAAATGTGTGTCGGTAGGCCTATTTGACCATAAATTTGACCCCTTTCCCATCTTTATTAGCTAAAAATGTTTACATATTATTAAATTAGGACATGCATAAAACATCTCTGGATAATTTGCAATATATGCTAGTATAGGAAAAATGTGAGGAAAATGCGGTCAAAGTTCGAAGAAAATCATAGAGAATCTTTTTTTGCAGGAATTGCGCCTGGTGCATTTTTTGGTCAACATGGTCAAAACGTGCGTTTCACTTAATGAAGGGAAAGGGAGTCATTAACATGTTTGAACCAACCTAAAACCGTGAGTCCAAGTCAATGAAGGTTTGTTGAGTGAATCTCAACTCATTTCCACCTAAAATGGAGGGTAGTTCAACCACCTTGAGGGCGTATAAAAGGAAGCCACTTCCTCAACAGCAAAACATCCATTCTCATCTCGTTTTCATATTTCTTTCTCTCGTTCTTAGTTGTAGAATTCGTTCGTAGGCTTTAGAGTTATGTTTTAGTTGTTCGTTTCTTGTATTTTCACTATTTTATGTATTGTATTGCCTTTAATTCGAGTTTGTACTTCCATTCTTCATCTATTACGTTCTTTTAACGTTCTTAAGAGAGTTTACACTCTCCTAACACTGAAAAGAGAAGAGGGTTAAGCTAGAACTCCTTGTACGCCGTTATTCTTTATTTACATTAAATGGAAATTACTTCTTTTATGTTATTGTGCATTTTCTTTACTTTATTATGCACTAGGTTATTTATCGACCTCTCTGTGGAATGCCTTAGTCAAATTATTTTGATTTTCGAACATGCTTGGGATTTGACCAGATTGCGCCTGGCGCTTTCTTGGGTTGGTTTTTAAAATATTCTCTTTACGTCTTTTTTCCATTTGGCTGTAGGAATTTCATTTAAGCATTAAAGCCCAACTCTGAGAAGAGTGAGATAGGTAAAATAATAGGAAACCGATATGAGATGTGACTAAGACATAATTAAGCGCATAAAATACAGTACTAGACATAGGCTCTCTGACTCAGAAATGAAAATGAGTTGGTAATTACTTTATAGGATTATAATCACACATAGCAATATGATTGTAGGTTACCTTAGCCTGTACAACAACTAAAAGCGGTTCGTGAAAGAGTATAACTTATATTCCTAAGATTTAGCCAAATAATGGCTGGTGCATTTTTCCCCAGAGTGTGTATCTTACATATTTTCCATCAAAACTAAGGTAGGAAGTAGAGAGATTGTGTTTATTAAATTACTTGATATTTGAAATCCCAAACAACAAAATTTCATCACTATTTTCTTYCTAAACCACAATTGCATTTTGAACCATTCACTATTTAAAACCGTTTTGAAAAGCACAAGTCTCTGAGAATAAACCTTGGATTGTTCGAAGTATTATTTGTGACCGTGTACACTTACACGTGTCTCTTATCTTTAAAGGTAGAGAATGTCCCAATAGATGGTTATTTTGGAGTAGTGTTAATCTCCCTCAGTTTGATTGTGCTTTGGATTTTGTGTTGATTGTCTTAAGAACCTCCTCCCTCGCTGCCAGCATTTAAGACTAATCTTAATGAGTCACTTTAAATGCTGAACTCATTTCTAGTGATTTTGGAGGAGCACCAACTATTCACATCCCAGCAAGTTGAAGCTTGATATCTTTCCTATGGCTTACGCAAATATGACTTTGACTTTTCATAGGGACAAGGACTCTTTGTCACCAGTGTTAATTAAAAAAACCCAACATTTGAGATTTTGAAGGCTATATATAAATTTTATATGCTAGTTTTAGATGCATGCTTGTGCTTTTTTCTGCGCCTTTTGACTTCCTAAATTTGTAAAATTGTCACTGTGGACTTGTTATGGAGACATATAAAAATTTAATTAGTCTCCATATATCACTGTTAAATCTAGCCATCTTTTATCATTTTAAGAACTCGATATCAATACATCTTGGTTGTCATATTTTTATGTTTAATAATTGTGATTCATGTTTCAGTGGGTCACCTTCTTAAAGAATGTATTTCATTAAATTGTTCTATACAGAAAATTGTCATGTGAGATCTAATAATTTCAATCTACTTAGCAACTGGAGTCCAGCACTATCAATTTGGTAAGTTTTCTTATTCTCTAGTTGGCTTTTGTGGTCAAAGATGCATGGTTTTGAAACTTGAAAGTTTTGTTTTATAAATTATGCTCTGTTTTGTATTTCCTTTGAACTAAAAGCAGTGTTTCTTTTGTTTTCTCTTAGACTAGAGTGAATAAAACATTATGGGTAAAGAGGGAATGGTATTAAAAGCTATTAACCATATGCCACCAGCCTCAAACTTCTTGGAATATAACCTTGAATCTTCATTGAATACATGAACATAATGAAAGAACATTATTGGTACAGGGAACAGTAAGAAAAAGTTACCATACAAATTATATATAACAGTCCATATTCAAAATAACAAATCAAGGTTTATACCTTCCATCATGTTTCTTTAGAATAGTACTCTATGTGCTAAGGTAAAGAGGCCATGAGGATACGATAA